CTAATGGTTCTAATCTAATCTTATCCAATAATTGAGGGGCAAGATGGTCTTTAGCCCTAATAATTGAGCTAAAATACAATTTCAATTAATCCAAAATAATTCCTAAAATTCGGAGCTCAAAAATAGGCCAGGGGTAAAATGGTCATTCTTCCGGCCCCGGGTCGAAATTACATTTTTCGACCGTACCAACCCCAAATGTGTGTGGCCAACATAATATGACGTCGGATTCTAAAAAATAGCCTCTTAAGCCCTCGAAAATCGGCATCGAAATCCGGGCCCAATTACGCGATCAAAACTTGCTCAATTTCAAATTTCAGTGTCTCTCACTAACGAGGGGCTGTTTAGGGGTTACGCATATCGACTAAGGTTATCCGAGTCATCATGGCCTCGATTCTCGGGAAAACGAGAGGAATTATTGCTAGTTCCTGAGGTTACGATCGCTCGGTTTAAGTTCAGGATCGGTTGGCCACGCGTACTTTTGGTCGCACAGAATCACTTGCTATCCGATCGTACGTCGTTGGCCTTGGCCAAACCATATCCGTCACCTTCCTACATCGGCCTACATTGGCCTAAAACGTTCCCTCATCGTTTCTCGACATTCGTGCCAGGTTGACGATCGGGTCCCCGGTCCACGTACTGTTTTCCTAGTTAGCCATACCCCATTGGTTAGTATCCCGAGAGTGATTAGCTCTGGGCGAGACTTGCTAAAATGAAATGAGAAATAATACTCATTTTATTGATTCCGAAATTGAGTCGAAATTCGGGCCGTTACAACTCTTCCCCCCTTACAAAAATTTCTTCCTCGAAATATGCAATCTATCCTTATCTACTCAAATAACTGTGGGTACCGACGTCTCATGGCCTCTTCACTTTTCGACGTGGCACCTTCAGTTCCATGATGCTCCCAGACGACCTTGACCATTGGGATCGTCTTATTCCTTAGCACACGATCATTCCTATCTTTGATCCTGACTGGTCTTTACACGTACGACGCTTTGTCCTCCACGTCTATCTCCTCGTACTTCAGAACGTGGGTCGGATCTGGTTCATATTTTGTCAACATTGACACGTGGAATACGTTGTGTACTTGGGGCAAATTGGGTGGCAAGGCAAGTCGGTAAGCCATATCACCAATCTTTTCTAAAATCTCAAAGGGGCCGACGTACCTCGGACTGAGCTTTCCTTTCTTACCGAATCGGGATAATCCTTTCATAGGCGATACCCTGAGAAATACATGATCTCCAACTTGAAACTCCAAGGGTCGTCGTCTCCGATCGGTGTAACTTTTCTGGCGGCTTTGCGCGGTCTTAAGTCTTTCCCTGATAATCTCAACTGCCTCAACCGACTGCTGCACTAATTCAGGACCTGTAATACTTCGCTCACCTACTTCGTCCCAACACAAAGGCGTCCTACACGCTCTACCATACAAGGCTTCAAACGGTGCCATCTGGATACTTTGCTGGTAGCTGTTATTGTAGACAAATTCCACTAAAGGCAGCTGTTCTTCCCATTTGCCTTGAAAGTCCAGTCACAAGCTCTCAACATGTCCTCTAGGGTCTGAATTCTCCTTTCAGACTGGCCATCTGTCTGCGGATGATAGGCCGTACTGAATTGCAACTTGGTTCCTAAGGCCGATTGCAAACTTTTCCAAAAATTGGCCGTAAACCTCGGATCTTGGTCCGACGTGATCGATACTGGTACCCCATGAAATCTAACGATCTGTCGAACATACAGTTCCGCGTACCTTTCCAATTCGAAATCCTTTCGTACCGCCAGAAAGTGCGTTGACTTAGTCAGTCGATCCACTATCACCCATATCGAATCATGTCCTTTCTGGCTTCGTGGCAATCCCGTTACAAAATCCATCGTGATGTGTTCCCATTTCCATTCAGGGATTTCTAACGGTCTTAACAACCCTCCAGGCTTACAGTGTTGGGCCTTCACTTGTTGGCACGTCAAGCACTTAGCTACCTGCTTGGCCACATCTTTCTTCAGTCCATTCCACCAATAATGCTGCCGCAAATTCTGATACATCTTAGTGCTGCCTGGATGGATACTGTAATTACTGCGATGTGCCTCTCTTAAAATTTCCTCCTTGAGCTCCAAGTCATCAGGCACACACAATCGTCCTTGGAACTTCAAAATTCCATCCTCACTCACTTGAAATTCCGGTTTCCTTGAGGCGGCGTCCATTCCAATAATCTTTTGGATCTCTGGGTCCGTAGACTAGATATCTGGCTCACCTCAAATTTAAACTCTGAGTCTCTAAGCCTTTCCAGCAAAGTCCACCCTTTGACCAACATATGCGCCATACTTGACTTACGACTTAGCGCATCCGCTACTCTATTCGCTTTTCCCGGGTGGCACATGATGTCGCAATGATAGTCCTTTAGAAGTTCCATCCATCGACGCTGCCTCATATTCAATTCCTTCTCTGAAAACAAGTACTTGAGACTATGATGATCCGTATAAATCGGGAACCTTTCTCCACATAAATAATGCCTCTAGATCTTAAGGGCAAAGACAATCGCTGCCAACTCTAAATCATGCGTCGGATAGTTCCTTTCATGCGGCCTCAACTGACGAGACGCGTAAGCAACTACCTTCCCGTGTTGCATCAGGACACAACCAAGTCCCCTTAACGAAGCATCACTATAAACCTCAAATCCACCTGGCCCAGATGGAATGGTTAATACTAGGGCCGTTGTAAGCCTATGCTTCAACTCCTGAAAACTTTTCTCGCACTTATCATTCCATTCAAACTTAGATTCCTTCTTCAATAATCGCGTCAGTGGCATGGCTATCAAGGAGAACCCTTCTACAAAACGCCGATAATAGCCAGCCAATCCTAAGAAACTCCGAATCTCGGTTACGGAGGTCGGCCTTGGCCACTTCATTACTGCCTCGATCTTTGCTGGGTCTACAGAAATCCCATCTCCCGAAACTATATGCCCAAGAAACGCTACTCTACTTAACCAAAAATCACACTTACTAAACTTGGCGAAGAGTGCGTGTTCTCTCAAAGTCCGTAGAACCTCAGTCAAATGTACCTCATGCTCCTCCGGGCTTTTCGAAAATACCAAAATATCGTCGATGAACACTATGACAAATCTGTCCAGAAATTCCTTGAACACTCTGTTCGTTAGGTCCATGAAGGCGGCGGGGGCATTGGTCAATCCGAAGGGCATCACTGTAAACTCGTAGTGCCCATACCGCGTTGTCAAAGCGGTCTTAGGTATATCCTCTTTCCGGATCCTTAACTGATGGTATCCAGTCCGCAAATCAATCTTAGAAAACACAGATGCTCCTTGCAGCTGATCAAATAGATCATCGATCCTAGGGAGAGGATACTTATTCTTAATTGTCACCTGATTCAACTGCTGGTAATCAATACACAACCTCAATGTCCCGTCCTTCTTCCTCACAAACAGAACTGGTGCTCCTCATGGAGATACACTAGGATGAATAAAACCTTTATCTATTAATTCCTGTATCTTGACTTTTAGTTCCTTCAATTCGGACAACGACATCCGATACGGTGCCTTTGAAATCGGCTTAGTCCCAGGGCCCAATTCTATCACAAATTCCACTTCTCGCTCAGGCGGTAAACCAGGCAATTCCTCAGGAAAGACCTCGGGGAAATTACATACTACGGGTATCTCTTCCAACTTAGGTTCTGTCATTGTTGGATCCACAACATTCATCAAATATCCTTCACAACCTTCGTCTAGCAACTTTGTTACTTCGAGCGAGGAAATCGAAGGAATCGAGGTTCCTCCTCGGTTTCCCTAAAATTCAAACCTCGGACTTCCAATCGGATTCAATTGAATCGTCCTATTGCTACAATCCATGATGGCCTTCTGGCTCACTAGCCAGTCCATCCCAATTATCACATTGAAATCGAACATGGCCAACACTGCCAAGTCGATACTTTCTTCCCTACCCCCAATCACAATCTTACAGTTGGGACAACCAAAAGAGACTAACATTCTATCATTCATAGGCATCGACACATTAAGAATAGTCTCAAGCAACACCGGTTCCATCCCAACTAACTTAACAAATTGCTCCGAAACAAAAGAGTGGGTCGCCCCCGGATCAAACAACGCATAAGCAGCATGATTACAGAGAGAAATGGTACCTGTGACTACGCCCGGCGCATTCTCAGCTTCTCTGCGCGCCATGGCATAAACTCTTCCTTGCGCCGGCGGTAAACCAGGCAATTCCTCAGGAAAGACCTCGGGGAAATTACATACTACGAGTATCTCTTCCAACTTAGGTTCCGTCATTGTTGGATCCACAACATTCATCAAATATCCTTCACAACCTTCGTCTAGCAACTTTGTTACTTCGAGCGAGGAAATCGAAGGAATCGAGGTTCCTCCTCGGTTTCCCTAAAATTCAAACCTTGGACTTCCAATCGGATTCAATTGAATCGTCCTATTGCCACAATCCATGACGGCCTTCTGGCTCACTAGCCAGTCCATCCCAATTATCACATCGAAATCGAACATGGCCAACACTGCCAAGTCGATACTTTCTTCCCTACCCCCAATCACAATCTTACAGTTGGGACATCCAAAAGAGACTAACATTCTATCATTCATAGGCGTCGACACATTAAGAATAGTCTCAAGCAACACCGGTTCCATCCCAACTAACTTAACAAATTGCTCCGAAACAAAAGAGTGGGTCGCCCCCGGATCAAACAACGCATAAGCAGCATGATTACAGAGAGAAATGGTACCTGTGACTACGCCCGGCGCATTCTCAGCTTCTCTGCGCGCCATGGCATAAACTCTTCCTTGCGCCGGCGGTAAACCAGGCAATTCCTCAGGAAAGACCTCGGGGAAATTACATACTACGAGTATCTCTTCCAACTTAGGTTCCGTCATTGTTGGATCCACAACATTCATCAAATATCCTTCACAACCTTCGTCTAGCAACTTTGTTACTTCGAGCGAGGAAATCGAAGGAATCGAGGTTCCTCCTCGGTTTCCCTAAAATTCAAACCTTGGACTTCCAATCGGATTCAATTGAATCGTCCTATTGCCACAATCCATGACGGCCTTCTGGCTCACTAGCCAGTCCATCCCAATTATCACATCGAAATCGAACATGGCCAACACTGCCAAGTCGATACTTTCTTCCCTACCCCCAATCACAATCTTACAGTTGGGACATCCAAAAGAGACTAACATTCTATCATTCATAGGCGTCGACACATTAAGAATAGTCTCAAGCAACACCGGTTCCATCCCAACTAACTTAACAAATTGCTCCGAAACAAAAGAGTGGGTCGCCCCCGGATCAAACAACGCATAAGCAGCATGATTACAGAGAGAAATGGTACCTGTGACTACGCCCGGCGCATTCTCAGCTTCTCTGCGCGCCATGGCATAAACTCTTCCTTGCGCCGGCGGTAAACCAGGCAATTCCTCAGGAAAGACCTCGGGGAAATTACATACTACGAGTATCTCTTCCAACTTAGGTTCCGTCATTGTTGGATCCACAACATTCACCAAATATCCTTCACAACCTTCGTCTAGCAACTTTGTTACTTCGAGCGAGGAAATCCAAGGAATCGAGGTTCCTCCTCGGTTTCCCTGAAATTCAAACCTTGGACTTCCAATCGGATTCAATTGAATCGTCCTATTGCCACAATCCATGACGGCCTTCTGGCTCACTAGCCAGTCCATCCCAATTATCCCAATTAACACACGACATGGCAATACCCGATTTACTATAATGGAGCACAAACAACTATTAACCAGTCAACCCGGAAATACCCGGCAGTTCAAACGTATAATACTCAATTGGTCCATTTTAACCCAATAAATCGCCAAATGGACAGCCACTATTCACTCCCCTATCGGCCTCCAAATTACCATTTGATTCACCACAATAATCCACTAATTAATCGCGATGTTAACCTTGCACTACCAATATCAAATTCTCCTCAAATAGCACCAATATATTCTAAACCGTGTCCGTCTAAAAATGTACACTGTCCTAGACCAAGGTTTAGAAAGTGATACTCACTTAATTCTAAGCTAGGGCGACGAGAACGGGCGGCCAATTGCTGATGAACGGCTGAATCGGCGGCGGCGTTCCAACGGTGGGCGGCGGCGCGGCTCACGGCGGCGAGAGGCGACGGTCCGGACGGCGTCTGAAGGTGGCGGGGATGTGGCGGCGAAGAAGGAGTGGTTCGGTGAGGGTGAGAAACGGTGGCGAGGACGGCGGCGACGGTGACGCTCCGGCGGCCCGCTCGGCTTCTCGGTGAAAGACGGCTCCGGCGTTCCTTGGCCGGGAGGGAGAGAGAGCGAGAGAGATGACTGATCGGACGAGAGGGCGATGAGGACCACGGCACAGCTGAGCAGCGGCACGGCGGCGTCCCGGCGGCGAGCAGCTCCGGCGGCACGGCGGACTCACGGCCGAGAGGAAGAGAGCGCCGGCGGAGGGGGAGGACGATCGTGGGAGGCTGGCCGGGAGAGGAGAGAGAAGGTGGAGGGAAAATGTGAGGAGAGGGAAAGTCAAATGGGTCAAATATAGGGGCTAGTGGATGCCAAGTGTCACTAATCTAGGCCCTTTGATCAAAATACCCCTAATCTAATGGTTCTAATCTAATCTTATCCAATAATTGAGGGGCAAGATGGTCTTTAGCCCTAATAATTGAGCTAAAATACAATTTCAATTAATCCAAAATAATTCCTAAAATTCGGTGCTCAAAAATAGGCCAGGGGCAAAATGGTCATTTTTCCGGCCCCGGGTCGAAATTCCATTTTTCGACCGTACCAACCCCAAATGTGTGTGGCCAACATAATATGACGTCGGATTCTCAAAAATAGCCTCTTAAACCCTCGAAAATCGGCATCGAAATCCGGGCCTAATTACGCGATCAAAACTTGCTCAATTTCAAATTTCAGTGTCTCTGACTAACGAGCGGCTGTTTAGGGGTTACGCATATCGACTAAGGTTATCCGAGTCGTCATGGCCTCGATTCTCGGGAAAACGAGAGGAATTATCGCTAGTTCCTGAGGTTACGATCGCTCGGTTCAAGTTCAGGATCGGTTGGCCACGCGTACTTTCGGTCGCACAGAATCACCTGCTATCCGATTGTACGTCGTTGGCCTTGGCCAAACCATATCCATCACCTTCCTACGATCTGCCTACATTGGCCTAAAACGTTCCCTCATCGTTTCTTGACATTCGTGCCAGGTTGACGATCGGGTCCCCGGTCTACGTATCGTTTTCCTAGTTAGCCATACCCCAGTGGTTAGTATCCCGAGAGTGATCAGCTCTGGGCGAGACTTGCTAAAATGAAATGAGAAATAATACTCGTTTTATTGATTCCGGAATTGAGTCGAAATTCGGGCTGTTACACCTAGACCCTAATTAGGCTAATTAAGCATTTCTAGATAGGATTAGGGTTAATTAGGGCGAATTAAGGTTGATTAGTGGCATGTTGATTAAGGGCTATTTTGGTATTGATTTGAGGAGCTTAATGAGGTATTTTGAGGCTGATTTGCTGCCCTTGATGGACCGGATTAGTGGCTGTCCTTATAGGACTTAATTAGCCTAGGTTTGGTCAAATTGAGATTTAATCGAGTAATTGCCAAGGTTGCTTGAATTGAACGATTTAGTGGCTGATTTGTGCTCATTGGTGATTAATTTGATAATGCCATGTTGTATGCCTAGAGTGGCCGAATATGGTGTAGTATGGCGGGCCTTGAATGTGCGAGTTTGTGTCGTACTAATGACATGATTTATGTGCCATGCCGAAATGTGTTAAATTGAATTGGTTATTTGAGCATGAATTGGCATAAATTGTGGGTGTGCCTAAGTGAAATTGAGTGCTCATTGTGCATGGTGTTGTTGCCCGAGCATCGGATTGCATGGCCACGCATTTCGCATGCTAAGCATTGGCTTGAGATGAGAATTGTACGAGTATGCGTGCTTGACATGAGCATGTGACCACCTAATTGCCCTGATGCGTTTTACGCGGGGTTCAGATAAATTGGTGGTGTGAATGTGTGATCATTATGAATCCTGATGCGTTTTACGCGGGACGGTACCCGCTTCTACCGGAAGACGGCCAGCTTGATGCGTTTTACGCTGGTTTTGGTCCGTATATGGAGATCGGTGTTGCGCCTGATGCGTTTTACGCGGGCCATGAAGTGTTGGTATTGATTAATAGACCCGATGCGTTTTACGCGGGTCAAATCTTAATTGAGAAATGAGCAATGTGCATTATTAAGCCCGATCGCTAGCATGGCATATTAGTGGCATATGTGTGCAAGAGTGTATTGGCAGTTGTGCATATCGGTGACTCGTGTGTGAGGCAGGCATTAATAAGTTTGAGCATGCGTATGGCGTACGTGTGACTAAGTGTGATTGCGTATGTGCCATGAGTGTTATTATGAACTGTTTAACCTGTAGGGTCAATTGTGTGCTCGGGCCTAGGTCAATTGATTGTCAATTATTGCTAGTTGTTTGTGATTTATTGCCTGTCAAGAGGTGCATGTTAGCCTAGTTTAGGTTTAGGGGGTTTTACTCGCTGAGATTCGTCTCATTGTTGTTTAAACCCAACCTTTCAGACCCCCGGCCCTGAAGATGTCAGAAGTGCCAGTACATTTTGGGATTCCCCATCATATAGAGAAGACGATGTCCGTATACCCCGTAGGGAACGAGGAAATGTATATTAGGTATTATACTTTGGTATGGGTTGATGTGGGGGAAACGCATTTTGAGACCCATAAGTATATAGCATGGTGTTTTAGAGACTACTCCAGGGAGTATGGACCTCTTTGGACTTTTGATGTCCCGTTTAATGGGCTGGGCGAGGTGGACCCGCAGTGTGCTAACAGAGATCTAGCGAGCCCCGAAGTTACGCCCGAGGGGAGTTCGAGTTCTGGCGCCGGACCTGTCGTCTGGGAGGTAGATGGGCGTGATCCGATGGATGAGAAGCCAGTAGATTGGGACTCAGATCCGGAGCAGATGGAGCCGGAGGAGGAGCCAGAGCCTATAGAGGAGGACCCCAAGCCGGAGGGTGAGCCTGAGGAGATAGACTCTGAGGAGGAGCCAGCAGAGGCCGAGTCCGAGCTGGATTCCCTAGACTCCGAGGTGGAGCTGTCTAATAGTTCTTCATCTTCCGAGTCCTCGGGATCTGACCCGGACTGGGTTCCGTAGGGTTAGCCTGTAATATCCTGAATTTCGGCTCATTTCCAGAATCAATGAAATAGATATTATTCCTCATTTAATTTTAGAAAGTCTCGCCCGGACTTGATCAATCTCGGGATACTAACCGATAGGGAATGGCTAATTAGGAAAGGGTACGTGGATCGGAGACCCGATCGCGATTCGGGCACCGATTCCGAGAATCGACGAGGAAATATTTTGGCCAACGTGGGCCGATCCTAGGAAGGTGACGGATTGAGTTTGGTCAATGACATACGATCGGATCGCGGGTGATTCCGCACGACCGAGAATACGCGTGGTGAACAAATCTGGAACTTAAACCGAACGATCGCGACCTCCGGAACTAGAGATAATTTCTCGCGTTCTCCTGGTAATCGAGACCGTCACGACTCGAGTAACCCTAAGTCGATACGCGTAACGACTAATCAGCCGCCCGTTAGTGAGAGACCCTAAAATTTTAAATTGAGCAATTTTGGTCGCGGAAATTGATCCGGACTTGGACATCGATTTTTGGGGTCGTGTGCAACTATTTTGCGAGGACGACATCATTTTAGTGTGGCCACATATATTTGGGGTCAGTATGGTCGAAAAATGAAATTTCGACCCGAAATCGGAAAATGACCATTTTGCCCCTAAGCCCTATTTTTGTATTCCGAATTTTGGACTAATTTTGGGGATTAATTTAAGATAATGTATCAGCCCAATAATTCAGCCATGTGAATGACCATAGAGCCCCTACCCTTGAATCAAGAGCATTTTGGTCAAACCATGGGATTTTTGACACTTGGATTCCATTATCCCCTATATTTGACCTTTGACTCCCATTTCTTGTCCATCAAGCCAATCACTCCCTCCTCTCTCTCTCTCCATCCGCCGGCCCCCATTCTCCCTCTTGCCGTGGAAGCCAACCGGCTTGGACCGCCTGATTGCCGGAGCGCCGCCGCACGCCATTCGACCGCTACCGCTCCTCGCCACCCGACCACCGTCCCTCTCCCCCTCACCGTCTCTTTCTCTCTCTCGTGTGGGCTGGGAGACCGCCGGATCTGCCTCCCCTTGGCCGAGAACCGCCGGAGCCGCCGCTCGCTTGAGCCGCCACCGTCTCGCCGCCTTGCACCACCACCGCCCTCACCTCTCTCCTCCCTTGCGACCACCAGCCTCACCTCCCCTTTCTCACCACCGTTCGGTCCAGCCAAGGTCCGCCGAACCACCGCCCAAGCGCCGCCGCCGATTTCGCCGCATGTCGGCGATTGGCCGCTCGTTCCCCGCCGGTTTAGTGCTGATTGGAGCCTAGTTAGTGTGAGTAATTAACTCTTGAACCTTAATTAGGACTAATGTTGCGTTTCTAGATAGAATTATGTGGTTTTAAGGGTTAATTAGGTTAGAATTAGGCTTAATTAAGATCCAATGACTAGTGGCTGATTATGTGGAATATTTGGGAGTAAATAGGCTGATTAGTAGGTGGATTAATGCCCTAATGTTGGCTGTTTGGTGGCTGCCCTCCCTAGAACCGAATTTGAATAAATGGGCTAAGTTGGGATTCAATTGGATTGTCGCCTTGGTTATTCGAATGACGTGATTTTATGGTTAATTGGTGCTTGATTGGATGATGTTTTGTCGTATGCTCTTAAGTGGCCGATTAAAATGTGGTGTATCGGGCCTGGAATGTGTTAAATTATGTGCATCAATTGCATAATTGACGTGCCGTGTTTAAATGCCTCAATTGAATATTGGAACGAACCGTTGAGACGCAAATTGAGCATGTTGTAGCCACATTGAATTGTGTACTCGTGATTGATATTGGGTGCCCATTATGCACGGTTTCGCATATTGCATATTTGATTTGGGCTTGAATCATGAGTTTTGAGAATGCACGTGCCTGATGAGAACATTTGATCGCCTAATTGCCCTGATGCGTTTTTACACGGGGTTCAGATAAAAATTGACTGTGTGCACGTGTGGTCATGATAAGCCCTGATGTGTTTTACGCGGGGTCGATGCCGTCCTGACGCGTTTTACGCAGGACGATGCCCAGTTCGTCCAGAAGATGGCCAGCTTGATTTTTTACGCGGGTTTTGGTCCATCAGGAGATCAGTGTTGCGCCTGATGCGTTTTGACGCGGGCTAGAGACTCTAGGCCTGATTCGTGTTACGCGGGCCATGGAGTGTTGTGAGCCTATGGGCCGAAATATTTGTGGGCCTTCGGGTCGGTTTATAAATTGCAAAATGAGCCGTGTGCCAGAGTGCATCATTTGAGCCAATCAGGAGCATAACAAATGTGTGCCAGAGTATGTGGCAAATGTGCGTGACGGTGACTTGTGTGTGAGACGGGCACTATTGAGTATGAGCATGCGTATGGCGTACGTGTGACCAGTGTGTCGCGTATGTGCCGTGATTATTATAAGATGTCTAAACTGTAGGGTTATTAGTATGCTCGGTCTTGGTCGCAGGCCTAGGTCATTTGGTTGTAGTTGTTATGCATTGCGTGTTTTGACTGCCTGTCAGGAGGTGCATGTTAGCCTAGTTTCGTTTTAGGGGTTTTTACTTGCTGAGATTCGTCTCATTGTTGTATAAACCCAAACTTTTCAGACCCCCGGACCTAAGGATGGCAGAAGCACCAGTACGTTTTGGGATTCCCCATCACCTCGAGAAGACGATGTCTGTGTTTCCGATAGGGAATGGGGAGATGTATATTAGATACTATACCTTAGTATGGGTCAATGTCGGGGAGACCCACTGTGAGACCCACGAGTATGTAGCGTGGTGTTTTAGAGATGCGGACGGAGTAGAGCTCGGGCCTCTTCGGACGTGTGACATCCCTTTTACTGGAGAGGATGAGTTTGACCCTCAGGGTCCCGATGGACAGGTGGTAAATCCCGACACCTCAGCCGAGGAGAGTGCGAGTTTTGATGGTGTACCCGTTGAGCACGAGATGGATGAGCACGATCCGATGGACATGGAGCAAGATGATTGGGACATTGATCCGGAACCGATGGAGCCGGACGATGGGGCAGAGTTGGATGAGGAGTTGGGGCAGCCATTCGAGGAGGATGCTGAGCCGGAGATAGAGCCAGAGGCCGTGGATTCAGAGGAGGAGATGCCTGACAGTTCTTCATCTTCTGAGTCCTCTGTTTCTGACCCAGACTGGGTTCCTTAGATTAGCCTTAGCTTTAGATAGGTCGGGCTGTAACTTTTTTACCAGAGCCCCATCTCAGTCTAGCATCCCTGACCCTGGCCACTGACCCTTTTTGACCTTAGTGGCCGTTGATCGTTTTTGGGTTGTCGTCTGTATCCCCTGTAAATGAATGTTGTATATTTCTTAATAGTAATGAAATGTATATGTTTTTAATCTGATGAATTTTCGTTTTGTGCTATCCTTGGTTATCTTGTTTTTGTACGGGTGTATATATATTTATATACGTTTCTTCCGCTTGTGTAATGATCTCTGATTATTGGGCGTTGGGTCGGCGACGCGTCCTGGGACGTCGCAACAAGTTCGACCTGAGGCGGGATGCTCGCGCTTCGTGGGGGTATAGGGCGTGACATCCCCGTTTGATTTGGTATCAAAGCAAGGTCAGCTCGTTCCAACTAGGTCGAAGTCTGGAGCGATGACCTTGGGTAGCCAGTAGGGTGACCCTGTGTGCTAAGTGTACCTTCTGACTGTCTGTGTTTGATTGAGTGTACGTGAATTGACCCGTAATATGCAGGTGCGGCAGGACCTGAGGTGAGTTGTGTACCTTCTTGTTTGAGGTCCTGTGTTGTTTATGCTTAGCCGCATGCTGAGTGGTTGGTTATTGTTGTGCTAGCTACCTGCCTAGGACCTTAGACCGGTTTAGTTGGTTAGGTCTCTAATTACTAAATGGGGTTATAGCAGGTAGGCAGTAGTGAAATCAGTGAGGATGAGGAGAAGAGGAAAGGAACCCCAGGGACAACCTAGTGCAGGAGGCCAAGAGGCCAGAGACCCTAGGCTGGAGGATATGATTCAAACCCTGCACGAAATAGGGAATGTTATGGGTAGGCAGGCCCAGGAAAGGGCTGCAGCCATTGCCTAGGCTGTTGAGGCTGGAGCAGCAGCTGCTGTGAATGGGAACCAAGCCAATTTAGGGCAGGCTCAGGCAGCTGGGAATAGGCAGATGCATCAGTTAGTAGAACAATTCCTTAAGTTGCAACCGCCCAAGTTTACTAGAAAAGGTGACCCCGAGGCTGCACCCAGATGGGTAGAGGAACTGGATAAGGCATTTGAAGTGTTGGGGTGCACTAAGACCGAAAAAGTGACCCTAGTGGCATACTAGTTGCAGGAAAATGCTAATGATTGGTGGAAGGCCACTAGGGGTAGAGTATTTCCGGAAGGTGTCGCCAAGACTTGAGCTGTGTTCACTGAAAGTTTTTATGGGAAATACTTCTCGGAAAGTGCCAGAGAAAGGAAGATAGCAGAGTTTATGCGACTCCGCCAAGGTCAGATGACTGTAGATCAGTACGAGGCGGAATTCGCTAGATTATCTAAGTTTGTGCCGAGGATGGTGGAACATCCCGTGGACAAGGCGCGAAGGTTCTGGGAAGGATTGAAGGCTGACATTCGCACCCAGTTAATATCAGCGAATTTGAGGACCTATGAAGACATTTATGATAGAGCTCAGGCTCTGGAGCGGGACCAGGTAGACAGGGCAGCCGCATCTGGATCGCGGTTTGCTCAGAATAGAGATAACCGCCGCTTTGGAAAGAAGCAGATGACAGGGAATCGACGCTTTGTGCCGCCAATCAAAAGGAACATTGGGAAGTCTAACCAGCAACCGAACCGATTTGGGGCTTGCTTTAAGTGCGGGAGTTTAGAGCATCAGATTCGGAACTGTCCCTAGCAGCGCCCTTCAGGACCCCAGGGCAACCGCAGCAAAATCGAATAGGGAACCAAGCCGGGAATCCCCCACCGGCTAATCAGGGCAAGCCGCCAGCGCAAGGAAGAGTTTATGCAATGGCGCGTAGAGAGGCGGAGGATACGCCGGGCGTGGTCACAGGTACGATCTCTCTATGTAATCATGCTGCGTATGCATTGTTTGACCCGAGGGCGACCCATTCATTTATTTCAGAATAGTTTGTTAGATTGGTTGGAATTGAACCTGTTCTGCTTGAGACCATGCTTTGTGTGACAACCCCATTAAATGATACAGTATTAGTGTCGTTGGGGTGTCCTAGCTGTAAGATAGTGATTGGGAGTAAAGAAGAAAGCATCGACTTGGCAGTGTTGGCCATGTTCGATTTTGATGTGATAATTGGAATGGATTGGTTGTCTAAGCAGAAAGCCGTAGTGGATTGCGGCAATAGGGTAATCCAGTTTAATCCGATTGGATATCCTGGATTTGAATTTCAGGGAAACCGAGGAGGAACCTCGATCCCTTGGATTTCCTCGCTCGAAGTAACTAAGTTGCTAGATGAAGGATGCGACGGATATTTGGTAAATGTGATGGATTCGACCGTGGCAGAACCTAAGTTGGAAGAGATATCAGTAGTGTGCAATTTCCCTGAGGTATTTCCTCAGGAATTGCCAGGTTTGCCACCGGAGCGAGAAGTGGAATTTGTGATAGAATTGGCCCCGCCCACAGAGCCGATTTCCAAGGCGCCGTATCGGATGTCTTTATCATAATTGAAAGAGTTGAAAGTCCAGATGCAGGAATTACTGGACAAGGGTTTCATTCGTCCTAGTGTGTCTCCATGGGGAGCACCGGTCCTGTTTGTAAGGAAGAAGGACGGGACATTGAGGTTATGTATCGACTATCGGCAGTTGAATCAGGTGACAATTAAGAATAAATATCCACTGCCGAGGATTGATGATTTGTTTGACCAATTGCAAGGAGCGTTCGTGTTTTCTAAGATTGATTTGCGGACTGGATACCATCAGTTAAGAATCCGGAAGGAGGACATTCCTAAGACCGCTTTTAGGACGCGATACGGGAACTACGAATTTATAGTGATGCCCTTTGGATTGGCTAATGCCCCTGTAGCTTTCATGGATCTGATGAACAGGGTGTTCAAAGAGTTTTTGGACAGATTCGTCATAGTGTTCATCGACGACATACTGGTATATTCGATGTAACATCATGAATTTCGACCCATTTCCGGGATCCAACGAAATGGATATTATTTCTCATCTGATTTTAGTACGTCTCGCCCGGAGCTGGCCCCTCGCGGGATACTGACCAATGGGAAAGGTTAACTAGGAAAACGGTACGTGGACCACGGACCCGATCGCAAATCGGGCACTGATTCCGAGAAACGACAGGAAAGTATTTTGGGCCAGTGTGGGTCGATCTTAGGAAAGTGATGGATTTGGTTTGGCCAACGACGTACGATCGGATCGCGGGTGATTCCGCTCGACCAAGAGTACGAGTGGCGAACAAATCCCGAACTTGAACCAAACGATCGTGACCCCTGGAATAACCAATAATTCCTTGCGTTCTTCCGGTAATCGAAACCGTCACGACTCGAGTGACCCTAGGTCGATACGCGTAACCCCTAAATAGCCACCCGTCAGTGAGAGGCTCTAAAATTCTGAATTGAGCAATTTTGATCGCCAAATTGGACCCGAACTTCGATGTCAAAATTCTATGGGTATTTATGACTATTTTGCGAGGCCGACATCATTTTTGAGTGGCTAATCATATTTGGGGTCGGTACGGTCGAAAAATGGAATTTTGACCCGGGACCGGAAAATTACGAAAATGCCCCTGTGCCCTATTTTTGGAGTTCCGAATTTTGAGGATTTTTGGGGACTTCATTGTGGATAATTATTAGAATTATTGAATTACCAAAAGACCCCTCAATTATTGGATGGGAGTGATTAATGGCCATTGGATCAAAGGGGCAAAATAGTCCAAGGGCTAGGATCGTGACACGTGGCACCACCTTTTTGACTATAAGCCCACTTTTACCCATTTCTCTCTCCCCCATCTTCATTTTCACGCCGGTCATCTTCCTCCCCCAACCATCTCCCTTCTCTCTTCCCTTGGCCGTGAGGAGCAGCCACCACCGGAGCAGTCGTCGCCGCCGCCGGAACCCCGCCGTCCGTCGCCGTGAGGACGCCGGAGCGCCGCCGCTGAACCGGTTTGATCCAACTGCTGTTCAACCCGTTTCTCTCCTTGTTCAGCCCACTTTTGAAGCTTAAACCTAGTGAGTGGAAATCCTAACCCTTAATTAGGATTATGTGCACTTTGGACAAGTTTTAGGGGTTAATTAGTGGGGGCTGATTTGGGCTGATGTTGTGGTGATTTTAAGGGCCTAAGGTGATGATTTAGGGATGGTTTTAAGGCTGTGGAGACTTGGTTTAGAGGGTGTATGAGCTGGATTTGCTTAATGGTGCAAGTGTAATGATTCTCGGATTACTGATTTTACTGTACCTTTGCACTTTGTTATTTTTTTTTATGATCATTGTGGGCCAAATCTGAAGAAGTGTTCTTCATGAAAGTTATTTCCAACATCTTTAAGTATAACATACTTTAATTTGGGAATTTTTGGAAATCATTTGAGGCCATTCGGAAGTCCATCTTTGGACCGAAACAAAACTGCTCGATTTACTGTTCACCCGACCTTCTGGTTTGTTCGAATTTTTATAAATTTTTCAGGCATATTTTCAAAATACTTCCTTCACAAAAATTGTTGGGGACATTTGTGGCTATAACATATAAAAATTTCAAGGCTTTCCAAAATGATTTGGGTACTGAATGAGTTGTATTTTGATGGCCTGAAGGGCTGTCCGAACGAATCGGATTTTGTCCGACTTTGAGTGTCAAAACGAGGTGTTTACCATTAGAACTGGGTTTCTAGTTCTTCACGGAAAATGTTCATCGAGATGTTTTGTACAACATATCCAAATTTCAAAATTTTTGGAATTGATTTACCATTTATTTCAAATGGATTTCTATCACTGTGCAACTGCCCAGTTTGGACCCGATTTTGTATATTCCCGGTTTTTCTCTCTCTCGGACTAATTAGTGGATGTCCATTGAGGTTTAATTGGGCCTTGTACGGCTAATGTGTGGTTTGTTCGTGAATTGCCATGTGTGAATGGTTGGGCCGTGTGGTGGCTGATTTGGGTACAAATTGTGCTTGATTGTGTTAAATTTTGTGGTGCCTCGCTTGAGCGACTTGGTGGTTGAATGGTAATTTGTCGTGCTCAATTGTTTAATGCCATGCCGCCTGATTTCGTGTTCGAGCAATGCGGTGTGTGATTGGCCTATCATTGGTGTGAATGTTTATTGCCCAAGCACGTAAATTATGTTTTGGGCCACATGGTACTAGTTGGCCAAGTGCGCATGTTATGCGAATAAGTATGGGCAATTGATTGGCTATTTGAGCAAGTTGATTTGGCATGTTTGTTGAAATACCGTGCTGAAATTGAATGCTCATGTTGCATTGTACGACATTGCATGGCCACGCATTGTGTATGCCGAGAATGGGACATGAGATGAGATTGTGCGAGAATGCGTGCCTGACATGAGCATGTGATCACCTAATTGCCCTGATGCGTGTTACGCGGGGTTCAGATAATAACTGGCTGTGTGTATGTGTGATCACAATTCGCCCTGATGCGTGTTACGAGGGGTGTGCCGTCCTGATGCGTTTTACGCGGGACGATGCCCGGTACGTCCGGAAGATGACCAACCTGATGCGTTTTACGCGGGCTCTGGTTTTTGAGGAGATCGGTGTTGTGCCTCATACACTTTGTAGCAGGCTAGAGACACTGGGCCAGAGATGCGCTTTTTGCGGGCCACGAAGTGTTGTGATTAAGAAAGAACAGTATTGCGCCTCATGCACTTTGTAGCAGGCTAGAGACACTGGACCTGATGCATTTTACGCGGGTCGTAATAATAATTGAGCATTGAGCCAGTGTGCAGTGTGAGCCAGTATGAAACATGGCATGATGATGACATTTGCATGCATAAGAATGCATGGGCCAGTGTTCGAGTGTGCAAGACTCGGTGAGTGGCATGCGAGAGGAACACTTTGAGTATGAGCATGCGTATGGCGTACGTGTGAAAATGTGTTTCACGTATGTGCCGTGATTATTATATCGAACTGTTTAACCTGCAGGGTCAGCAAGGTAAGCGATTCGGGCTCAAGGGCCTAGGTCATTTGATTGACATTATTGTCCGTTGTTGTGTTGATTTGCTTGTCGGGAGGTGCATGTTAGCCTAGTTTTGATTTAGGAGGCCTACTCACTGAGATTCGTCTCATAGTTGTTTAAACCCCGTTTTTCAGACTCCTGATAGAGGTTGCCTAGTGTACCCGATCCATATGAGAATCCAGAGCCCATAAAGCAGGAACCCGAACAGGTTGGCAAGGTCGAGCAGATGGATTCGGAGGATGAGATAACTGAGTCCGAGTAATCAGGATCTGATCCCGATTAAGTTTCCTAGGATCAGCCTTAGCCTTCCTTAGGTCGGGTCAGTAACCCTTTTGATTATAGCCCCACCTTAGACTGCCCCCTTGGCCACTTAGGGATTTTGTTAGTAGTGGCCGTCAACCCGCTTTTGTTTGGTGATTTGTATTGGCAGATAGTGGACATTGTATATATTTTGAAGTTCAATACAAGTCTTGATTTTTAGGCTTTGAATCAACGTTCCTGCTACCCTTGGTCATGTATTGTTTTGTGCGGGTGTTTTAATTATCGCTTCCGCATGTGCCTTATGCTCTGTGTTGGGAGTTGGGTCGACGACGCGGCCTGGGACGTCGCAGCAAATTAAACCGATACGTGGGATGATTGCGCTTCGAGGGGTTCGGGTCGTGACATTCGAAGAACCCTGAGGAACATGAGGTACATTTGACCAAGGTTTTACGGACTTTGAGAGAACACGCACTCTTCGCC